TGGGCGCAATGGCTCATGCCTGTAATCCCAGCACTTTGGCAGGCTAAGGTGGGTGGATCATCTGAGTTCAGGAGTTCGAGACTAGCCTGGCCAACGTGGTGAAACCCCGTCTCTACTAAAAATACAACTGTTGCCTGCCAAGAGCACAGCTGAGTCCCCACTCGATCTCACCAGCCTCGTTTCTTGCTGGCAACTCCCAGCAGATTCTGATCCAGAAGTATGTACGATATTTTGGAACTCAGTTCTGGTTTCCCCATAGGAAACGGTGTTGAAATCTCAGCGTGGTGTGCTTCCCTCTCCTCTCCGAAGCCTGTAGTCCCTCTGACCTTGAACCTTGGGCCCCTGTAGGTATTGAGTAAATATGGTCAGTTCCACTTTGCTGAGCCTGCATCACCAGGGTTTCATGAGGACAGAACCGGGTGATGCAGACGAAAGCACCTGCACGCAGCAAGAGGACGTGCACAGAAAGGACTCAGAGCAACAAGTGCACTGTTTTCTTAACGAACAGGTCTGCTCTGACGCGGGATCAGAACACATTCTTTTGTTGTTGTTTGTTTGAGATGGAGTCTCTCTTCGTCACCCAGGCTGGAGTGCAATGGTGTGATCTCGGCTCACTGCAACCTCTGCCTCCTGGGTTCAAGCGATTCTCCTGCCTCTGCCTCCCAAGTAGCTGGGATTACAGGCACGTGCCACCACAGCTAATTTTTGTACTTTTAGTAGAGACAGGGTTTCACCATGTTGGCCAGGCTTATCTTGAACTCCTGACCTCAAGTGATCTGCCCACCTCAGCCTTTCAAAGTGGTGGGATTACAGACATGAGCCACCACACCCGGCCCAGAACACATTCTATCCAGCTTTTCCTAGCTGCTTTGCTGCCCATCTGTGCCTCAGTTTCCTCACTTAAAAGAGGACTGACTGGGTGCGGAGTCTCACACCTGTAAACCCAGTACTTCGGGGCTGAGGCGGGTGGATCACCTGAGGTCAGGAGTTGGAGACCAGCCTGACCAATGTGGTGAAACCCCATTCTTACTAAATATACATCATAGGCCTGGATTGTGATGGCGAGGCTCTGTAATCCAGCTATCGGGAGCGGGGGGCTGCGGCGGCAGGGAGATGGGCTTGAACCTGGGGGCAGGTGCAGTGAGCCGAGTTCGTGCCATTTGCACTCAGCTGGGCAAGCAGATTTGAACTCCCCTGGGCTCAAAAACAACAAAAGCAAAAAAAAAACAAAACAAAGGGACCTTTGCCCAGGCTAATTGAGCAAGCTTTCACCACTTCGCCTCATCCCTTCAGATCAGGGACTCGCTGTTCTTCTTGCACCTTTCTTGTCCCCCCCCAGCCCCTTGGCCCATTGAGGCACAAGGGAGGTCAGCAGGGGTTGCCTTTTCCTGGGGAGGCGGCAGTGAAAGAAGCAAGAATGATGGTCAGGAGGAACAGCAGGCCCACGGACATAGCTACTGGTTTCTGGCTGGCTGGCTGATGGGTGGCTTACTGTCCCTCTGGCTCAGTCTCATTCACGAAAAGGAGGATGGGCAGGGGTGGTGGGGCTCACCCCTGTAATCCTAGCACTTTTTGAGAGGGCTGAGGGGCAGGGTGTGTCTCTTGAGGTCAGGGTTTCTTGGACCAGGGGCCTGGTCCAACCAAGGTGACACCCAATTTCTGTACTAAATACAAAAAAAAAAAAAAAAAAAATTCTCCCAGGGCATAGTGGTTGGCACCTGTAATCCCAGCTACTTGGGAGGCTGAGGCGGGAGAGTCACTTGAACCCAAAAGGCAGAGGTTGCAGTGAGCCGAGATTGTGCCACTGCACTCCAGCCTGGGCAACAGAGTGAGACTCCGTCTCAAAAAAAAAAAAAAAAGAGAGGACATTGACCCTGGGCACTAATAAGCAACCTTTTCACCACTCTTTTCTTTCTAATCTTACTCTGATTAGTTCATTTATTTGGAGAAGCAGTCATATTCTGGTGTTGGGAGCGTGAACTCCAGAACCACTCAGCCTGGGTTCAAATCCTGTCTCTGCCACTTACTAGCCAAGTGATCTTAAACCTCCCTGCACCTCAGTTTCCTCATCTGTAACATGGGAAAGAAACGGAAGCTGCCTTGGAGAGTTGTAATGAAGATGAGTAACTGACAGGAGTGCTTAGAGCATTCCCTGGTACACAGCAGGTGCCACGTAAGCTTTAGCTGGGATTATTATTCCCCCCACCCCGTCATGAGTCCATGTTTTCAAAACTGTTGCCCTCCCAGATCAGAGAATGTTGGAAAAAAAGGAAAAAATATATAAATGAATAAACAAAAACTGTTGCTTATAAACAGTACATGTAATGGGGGAATAACGAATTTTCTGGTGCATACGGCAGAAATCTGCAAAACTGCCAGCTGGAGACTATGACCAGCATAAAATTCATTCATTGCTTTAAAAGATGCTTGTCAATAAGCACAGTGGCTGCCAAGGCACCGTGTACTGCCAGCCAAGAACCAAAAATCTGGGCATTTTAATCTATACAGGTTAATTTCAGATAGATGAGGGGCCTCTTTAAGGCCGTTTGAAATGGTCAGAATAGTTCAAGGGTCACTATTACTCCCTCCTCAGTTTCCCCAGTCATCTCTGAGGCCCCCATCTACCCAGCCTACTTAGAGAGTATGCATTCAGGCCAGGACCTGAGCTTCTTCATGGGATCGGAGCAGCGTGCTGGGCCCAGAGCAGGCAATGCCTTAACGGATGCTATTGAAGTTGGTGTCTCGACTTGCCCATCACCTGGGCCAGGGCAGTCTTGCTCCTGACTGCTACGCCGGCAGCCCCGACACTGGGACTTCACGCACAGGGAGGAGGTGATCCTCCTGTAGCTCATTTTAGCAGACACCTGAGTTTTTAAATGAGAGCATTGACAAAAGGTCTTCTATGTTAAAGACATAAATCCTCCCCTTTGGAGGTAGAGGTAGAAGGAGAACGAGAGAGGTAGGTAATAACTTGAGTCTTTATAGTTTTTAAATTTGGAAGGGCTGGGCGCAATGGCTCATGCCTGTAATCCCAGCACTTTGGCAGGCTAAGGTGGGTGGATCATCTGAGTTCAGGAGTTCGAGACTAGCCTGGCCAACATGGTGAAACCCCGTCTCTACTAAAAATACAAAAATGAGCCAGGCATAGTGTCACACGTCTATAGTCCCAGCTACTTGGGAGGCTGAGGCAGGAGAATCACTCGAACCTGGGAGGCGGAGGTTGCAGTGAGCTGACATTGCGCCATTGCACTCCAGGCTGGACAACAAGAACAAAATTCCGTCTCAAAAAAAAAAAAATTTGGAACGAGGAGTCACTGACCCTTGGAAAATCCGATGATGGCTACAAATTCTATCCTTGGAAACACACACATGCACACACGTGCACACATGCGCACACACGTGCACACATGCACACACACGCACATGCACACACATACACACGAACACACACACAGGCACACACACATAGTAAATCATTCCAGTTATGGCCCTTCGAAGGCCCGTCTCTAGCCTCCTGAGTCACACAGATTAAGAAAAAATATCCCAAACTTGGAAATAAGGCAAAAGCATGTCTGAATGTGATTTCAGTGTCACACTGGATCATTGCCTAACTGTCCCATTCAAGGATTCACTCATTTTCTAGGGAACAGTATCTTGGACGAGGCCCCAGAGTCTGTGAAGTTACATGTGAGCTGGTAGATTTTTGTCCAATAGAAATTCAAAGGATTTCAGTTGATAGAAACAAGAATTCCCCAAGGTTATG